ATGTTTTATAGACAAATCAAAACTACCTTCCGTACAATAATACCATCCGATACTGTTGTGTTGATCAGCAACTTCAGCTTTATTATCCAATTTCTCTTCTATAGCCAAAGCTTCCTTACAATGGTCTGCATAGAGCTTACAATATAGGAGAAGGTAAGTTGTTTCGTTGGGAAGATTTTCATTTAGTTAAGGAAATTACCATACTTGATTGCGAAGAATCAGCAAATGTATCGCAAGGCTGGCTAACAAAAAGTAATTTCAATCAGTTGGTTACATCGAAAAGTTCTATTTGTATACGTGCTACACTAGATTCTAATGATAATCGTTCATGTGGTGTTTTTGAATGTGTTGAGGAAGGCTGTATAAAAAAATTCTTGTCTTATCATCATCTTGTTAATCACTTGACTGTTGGTAAGCATATACGTAAAATAGAAAAGTTTTCGTTAACTGACACGGAAATGAAAATGTATAAAACAAAAATTGAAACAATTGAACAACGTATGATGGTGTCGTTGTTGTTAGAAATGTCATCAGTTTCGGAAAGATGCAAAATTGAACACAAATTGTCATCAGCATCTGAAGGGCATGGCCTTCCACCACGAAGAATGATGACACGGTTTACACCATTGCAACATCAATTCTCAATCGAAAAATTTGACGAAGGAATACGAAATGGTATACGTTGGAAATCTGAAGCTGTAGCAGAAAAAATGCAAGAAACTAAATTTGATGAAAAATTTTTGTTCAGTGTTGAGGAATGTTTGACACCTAAACAAATTCGTTCTTATTTTTCCAGAACGAAAGCAAAACGTCAGGGACTGATAGAAAGTGTTCATGGTGATGAAAATGATGATACAGAGGCTTTTCTTGATAATTGTGCTGGTGAAGAGGCAGAAGAAAGGATAAATTTATCGGAATGTAAACGCAAAGTGGATCCAGCAAATGAACCATCAAGATCATCAACTGCGTCTGCAGTTCAGGTATCGCCGGTTCGGTTGTTGTTGTCACCTGGTAAACGAGCGTTGTCTCCGCAAACTGCTTCTTTCGATACTACGAAATGATACTCATTTCGTACACAAAATTCTTGATGTCGCAGAACTGATAGACTATTTAACGAAGGTTGTTATAATTTTATATTTTTCCACCATCCATTTTTGGCATCTAACGCGAGGTAGAATATTTTGTCCGCGATTAGATGTATCATCATCATTATAATTCATAATTTTTCTTCATATGACAAATGTAGTACATGAATGAAAATGAGATATGGAAGAGAACGTTCATAAAACTTGCTCGTACCCTTTGATTCTTGACCTTGAGCAAGGTCGAAATCGGTCCTGGGTTGCTGCGCATTGTTCCTTTTTTGTAATATTTTTGTGAGATTCCCGTTTTTCGTTCAAAAGTTTTAACACTAAGGAAAACTTTCATTAGACCATCTTTTGCTAGCTAGATTACGATTATAGTTTCGTCGTTTCGTTAGTTTTGGCATTTTAAATTACGTGAATAATTGGAACTTGAATGAATCCCAGTCAGTTTAGTTTCGAGCGTAGAATAGCAGAGACGGCTGCATATTTGGCCTTTGTTTCAAAATAGCTATTCTGTTAATGAAGGCTAAATATGGCAGCCGTCTCTGCTATTCTACGCTCGAAACTAAACTGACTGGGATTCATTCAAGTTCCAATTATTCACGTAATTTAAAATGCCAAAACTAACGAAACGACG